TGTTAACTTCAGTAGGCTGTAAGCTACTAAATGGCAGAGATAGAGATACATCTTTCTTATCTTTGTATTCTTTGTTACACCATTCAGTAATTTGATCATTCACGAAACATTTACAGAGCATCAGCAGTGGTAGGCAATATACAAAGTATTAAAATTACAGAAAAAAAAAAAGTCCTGTCATTAAGCAGTTAGCAGTTCAATGACAAGGAAATAGTTAAACCGTAGTGTGAGAAGTACTATGATTGATGCATCTTATTTCGGGTTCTGAACTTATTTGATATGTGGTAAGTGAATACAAATGATTTTTAGTTATGAAAATACAATTAGTTTCAGAAAAATTGCAATTGATTTCAAAACAGTTATAAATTATATGTGAATCATCTGTTCTTTGGGGTTGTTCATGGTACATTGCTTGTCTTTTAGCAGGTAATTGTGTTTGAGCTTTATATCTTCTGAAGTTCACTTGAAACAGGGCATATATAAATACGTTGGAATTGCCATTGTGTTATCCCAAATAGTAGGTATAGAAGTTTTGACATTTTTACACTTATATTTTTTTATTTTTTACATTCTCAGTGATCGAATGATTATTTGGTACTATTTTTCACAGCAGGAGAAATTTATATCATGATGTAACTTGAGTTGTTTTTTTTAGACAACAAAACCAGAATGCAGTGTAAAATAGTGTTGGTTTAACCATAATTGCTTCCTGCCTTTGGAGTTCTATGAAAATGAGAATGTTCTGAATGTAACAGTTTTCTATTAATTTATATTATGTGGGATGTTCAGGTTATGAATGACTGAAATTGGAACTGTGTATGCTCAGCATCAGTACATAGGTCTGCTGAATTAACTTTCCTCAGCAGTGATGTAATAGAAGAAATGCTAGAACATTCCACTGTCTTTTAATAAATAGGGAGACTGATGGATTTCACAATCCAGATATTTATGTTGTTTTGATGGTGCTATAACTAGTAATAAAGTTTTCAACTCTTTGTGGTATTTTAAGCCAAAGATGTTTTATGGTATTTCTTCTTTGGTCATTTAGCACCAGAAATATGAGCTATTATTAGAAGCCCAGTGGCATGTTTATTATATTTTGTTTAATTCACATTTGTAATGTATAACTTTACTACAATTAAAAAAATTTTTTATTGTATTTTCTGAGGGAAAGGGTATATCTTTACATTCCATTGTTTTAAAATTAAAGATGTCAATTTTTCTACTCTGCAACAGGATTTTTACAGGTGTGACATAGTATTGGCTATTGACTTAATGATCAGGTTTAAATATAAGTATTAATCAGAGATGAACTTACTGCTTGGGTTCACGTTTAAACTGTGGCATGTTGAAATAATCTAGGTCTCCCTCTGCACATCTGAATTCATTTTGTAAAATATGGCAAACAGCTGCATTTGAATTGAAAGCTAAAACAACTGCAGGACATTATTAACCCATTGAGAAGATTACAGTAGGTTTTCAGTTCCATGTTAACTGTATTTATTAGAGAAAATTGACTTGAGTGCTTCTGCTTTTAACTGACTTTTTTTTTTTATGTCTAGGAGAAAGGAAATAAAGTATTGGGATGATAGGACTTTGATGTGTAAAGAAGTTATGTCTAAAGAAGTTAATTATCTAAATCAAACAAAATGCGGGTATGGGAAATAATTATTTTAAAGATTCTAATGCGCTATCAGTTCATCATGTCAGAAAAATGTTATTCACCTGTTTGATTTAAAAATTAAATAACTGGACCGTCAAAGGATCGTGGTTATAATAAACTAAGATTGGGACCTTTTACCTCTTACCAAAAAATACTCTTGATGTGAAACATTTGGCAGTAGGGGGACAACTGAAGAGAGCTGTGGGTTTAGTATGAATTTACTTTCTGGAGTGTCTCCTCTTCAGAGAGTGTTAAAGCAGGGTGCCTGGATTTGCAAAATGAAAAAGGGGCAGATTGCTTAAGCAGTGTCATGGGACATTTGGCCACAGGATAACCCCCAGACTGGCATGGCTTCAAATCTGATGTGAGTCTTCTTAAATCATTACTGTTTTTAGAGGCTGAGGTTAACACAGTATCTTTAGTATTTTCTCCAGGATATCATATCTGTGCCAGTGTTGTATTGGGATGAGGGAGACAGTTTCTGAGGTCCTTGAGAGAGCCAGGTTCTTTCTGTATCACTGTCCTGATTTTGTAGGGCTGTTTCTAGAAGTCATTGAGTTTCTGTCTGTCTTCCCTCAATCTTGGATTTGGTGATGTAATTTTCTTTTTTTTTGAACCTGAATTCTAATGGTGATGCTTCTTTTCCTGTGTTATTTGTAGATAAAATACTTTAAAAGTCTTTGTGGGGAAAAAAAAATTTAAGCTTTAAAAAAGTTGATGGGCGGATCCCTGGGTGGTTCAGTGGTTTGGTGCCTGCCTTTGGCCCAGGGCGCGATCCTGGAGCCCCGGGATCGAGTCCCGTGTCAGGCTCCCGGCATGGAGCCTGCTTCTCCCTCCCTCTGCCTCTCCCTCCCTCTGCCTCTCTCTCTCTCTATCATAAATAAATAAATCTTTTAAAAAAAAAAGTTGATGCCTTTCCATAGCATTCGCTTTTTGATGTGTTTTAGAATTTTTGCTTTTAGGCTCAATTTGAGTAAAAGTTTTTTTCCTTCTTTTTCTCTACTCTTACATTTGGCTTGGCCCTTAGGGCCCTCACTCTAGACCAGGGCTTACGTTTGCAGATAGTTGGTCTTGCCACAGAAAGGTATTGGGATATTCCAGATCTACCCAGCCATCTAGTGTGCTGCTCATTTCAGGTCTCTATCCTATTGCCTTCTCAAAAGCTTTGTATATGGCCATCTCAGGCAGTGTTTTATAGTAGCTTCCTCCCCAACCCCCCCCAGTTGTCTTTCATGGAGCTGTCCTTCTATCTCAGTGCTTGGTGAATAACTCTGATTCAGGTTTCCTGTATCAAGTTTAGCCCCCATTGCCCACAGCTGTCAGGTTAGAGGATGTATTAAGAAGATAAATTTCACAGCAAGGTGAAGAATGAGCTGAGATAGAAAGAAAGTAGCTATAAATAGTGCTTATAGAGAGAGCCATAAAGTAGAACAAGAGAAGGAGGATGTAAAAACATGAGGGACAATTTATTTGGGTTCTTACAAATTATAGGGTGCAGAAGGAGTCAAAGACAGTGACAGATTTTGAGTTAGGATGACTACTAGCAATAGTGATGTCAGTACTGAAAAGTATTTTATAAGGGAACTAAGTACTTAATGTTTGTTGAATTGCATATAAGTCTTTTAGTGAAAATATTCAAATTTCTTGAACTTAAGGTAATGAAAAAAGAGTAACCTAAATTTGTCATCTAAAAACTTTTAGCTGATTTATTAAGATTCTTAAGGTCTTTCTGTGTACAGTAATAATAGTTATTAACATTGTGTGCTCACTGTTTGCTAAGAGCCATTCTGAATGCTTTGTGCATATTAGTTCATTAAATCCTCACAACAACCCTAAGAGTGGGGGATTATCATTCTCACTTTAAAGTTGAAGGAACTGAAACACAAAGAAGTTAAATGATTTGCCCCGAAGTCCTAGTAAAGTAGCAGAAATGGGATTTGAACCTGGGCAGTCTGACTTCTCCTAGTTTGCTACAGATCATTTAAAGATTGCAGTACTGCTTTATTTTATGATATATTTGAATCTACAGATCATTTTTAGTTTAAGGAAAATTATATTGCAAAATTTATATGGACATGAAATAATAGCTAACATTTATTGAGCACTTACTGAGTCATAGTTGAGGCTTTTATACTTCCATTATTTTAATGTTATTTTCACTAATTCTTGTTTATGGGATTGCCACATGCATTAAATAAAATAGCATATATTAGGATTGGCATCTACTTTCCCCCTTATGCATCAACTTAATTTTATTGGGGAAAAAAAGTCACTTTTTAAATTGAAGATTTACTTAACCAAAAGATTATAAAATATCATAGTGCTTGCTTCTGATCTGATTGACTTTATTTTTATTATTTATATTTTAGGCTTTGGTTCAGATGGGAATCAGATTATGCAGTGGTTTTCTAATTTTGTATTTTACAGCTGTACCACTCTTTTTTTTATATTAACTCTTACTTGGAACCCCAATATATGAAACAGAAAAATCGGAGTTGTTCTCTGGTTCTGGATAGAACTAGGAGAGTGTGCTTTGGGACCTTTGGGAGCTCTTTGAAATATTGCCTATGAACCTTAGTGCTCTCTGGAACACATTTTGAAAACCATGGAGTTCTGTTAAAATATTTTAATGAGGGATCCCTGGGTGGCGCAGCGGTTTGGCGCCTGCCTTTGGCTCAGGGCGCGATCCTGGAGACCCGGGATCGAATCCCATATCGGGCTCCCGGTGCATGGAGCCTGCTTCTCCCTCTGCCTGTGTCTCTGCCTCTCTCTCTCTCTGTGTGTGACTATCATAAATAAATTAAAAAAAAAAGTTTTAGAAAAAAAATAAAATAAAATATTTTAATGAGTCTTTTTCTTCCATTATTTATTATGAAATTTGTACTAAAATGTTTATCACTTAAGTGAGTAATTTTTTGATACTGTATTTGACTAAGCAGTTTTTTCTTCGTTATTATTTCATTTTAAAGATTTATTTATTTGAGAGGGAGAGAGAGTGCGTCCCATGGGTGGTGGGAGGGCCAGAGGCAGAGGAAGAGAGAATCCCAAGCTGACTCTGTGCTGAGTGTGGAGCTTTAGGTGGGGCTCAATCCCAGGACCCTGAGATCATGATGTGAGTGGAAACCAAGAGTTGGATGCATAACCAACTGCACCACCCAGGTGCCCTGTTTTTACTATTTCATTTTAATAATATTAAGTGGGAACAAGTCAGATTTATGAACAAATTAGAAATTTAAAATTTTCTATACTTTTTGAAGTAATTTTTAATTGCATCCATTTTCCATGCGTTTATTTATAGTTAAATGTATTTTGTAAGCTTTATTTCTTTTTTATTTAGATGAATAATACTGCAGCCAGCCCAATGTCTACTGCTACTTCAAGTAGTGGAAGAAGTACAGGGAAGTCCATAAGCTTTGCAGCAGAGTTACAGAGTATGATGTAAGTATGTCTCTGCATCACACATTACTGTTTTGATTTACGTTGATAAGAGATAATAGAAACAATAAAATTTCTAAAACTTAACTTGGAAATGTGGACTTAATCAAGTAAAAATAAAATAGTCTGATAATAGGTTAAATAGCCATATGCAAAAGGAGCAAAATTGGTTAAAAATGCTACAGTGATACTGTATTTGAAAAATAAGTATTGATTCGTCTTTATAAAAGAATGAACAATCATAGGGATATTTTTGCTCTATTTAGTATCTGGTCAGATCTGTGTTATGGATTGTTAATACTGTTTTAGATTTAGAGAATTTTGAAATTGATTATATTCTTGGATATGTTCAGATGTTTTCACAGAGAGGTTCTCAATTTTTCTCAAATACCATAAAAATTCCATGAGCCTAAACTTAGATTACTTTTTAGTTTTGATGATATTTGGAATCACTGTATTACTGAATGTTGAGAAAAAACTTAGAACATTTAAAAAAAAAAGTTGTTTTTGAGAATTTGCATGATGATTTCTTTTCTGAAGCTTAAGCTAAAAAAGCTTGATTTCCGGCTTTTTGCATTGACTGACATGGCATACATTGATTTGATAGGAGATAGCATGTTTATCAGAGATGTCTGCTGGCATATATTAGTGTTTCTTTATTATTGGTTCAGGAGACAGTTATCTGCATAAGTGAGACAACATGTTAGAGCTCTTCTCTTCCTATGGATACATTATTCATGACATACTAGGCAATTTGAAAAGAATGTTTCTGTTGACAATTTAAGTATCTTCCTCTTGTGGATGTATATTGATAGTCTTCATAGTGAATTAACTTTGTGTGATTATTGTTCAAATACACATACTCTTCACATACTTTAGACAACACTGTTTATTGAATGTTTAGGTTGTAGGTTCTCAAACTTTTTGGTCTGAGAATCCTTTCATATTTTTAGTTGTTGAAGGCCTTAAACAGCATTTGTTTATGTAGGTTGCATGCATTAATATTTAGTGCTTAGAGTTTAGAACTGAGGAATAAAAAATTACTAATTTATTTGAAAAATAGTAAACCTATTACATGTTAACATCAATAATAACTGCCCTGTAAACATAATTATATATTCTTTTTTTAAATTTTTTTTAAATTATATATTCTTAAACCAAAAATAGGTAACACGTTTTGTTAGTTAAGATGAGAATACATTTAAATTATTAATCTAGGAGCCATTTGAGGTGAGCCTATGTTTCAAATTATGGAAAATGTTAAGAGTTTATGCTAATATACACTTTTATATAATCTTCTTCATTTTAGTTTTGTTGCTTTACATTGAGAATCTTTTATGTTGCCTTATGTTAATTATGTTTCAAAATATTAAATGTGCTTTAGAAGGTTTACAGTAAAGTGAAGAAATCTATTTTTCTGTAGAGCTGGTTCATTGATTTACTTTGTATTTTTAAAAGCTTTTACTTTCAAATTCACGAAATTACAGAGAATAGGATAATGAACTCCATGCATCCATCATCCAACCTTAACAATAATAGTGTTTTGCTAGTCTTATTTAACCTACTCTCCACTTTTCTTTTATGAAATATTTTAAAGCAAGTCCCAGACATAATATATCAAAGTTGGTGGTATTTATTAAAATGGTATATCTGTCATAGGTAAAGAAATAAGTTCTTTAGCATAGGTCCTCAAACTATGGTCACGGTCCCATGGACTGGCTGCCTGTTGTTGAAAATGAAGTTTTATTTGACCTCATCCACGCTCATTTATCTGTTATCTGTCGCTGCTTTCATGCTACATGACAGAGCTGAATATTTGTGACAGAGACCATATGGCCTATAAAGCTGAAAATATTTACTATATGGTCCTTTACAGAAAAGGTTTACCTGATCTTAAGAAGAAAGCTTTATTTCCTTTGGTCATTTATACTTAGAGGTTCTTAGTACATTTGATAGACTGCAGGCCACTTAGGAAAACAGAAAAAAAGAAAATAAAACCTAAATTCAGCACTTTCTTATTAAATACTTTTGCAAACATCTTCTCAACTAATATGCTTAAGCTGGATTCAGAATGCACAAGTTATTGTTGGCTACAGCTTTGGAAGAAATGTACATTTTCCTTCTATTTCAGACCTCTTAGAGAGGCCACTCCTAATAGTTACATTCATCATTTATAGTTTGAAGTTATTTTTTTTCCCCCTTATGAATTGCTTCATAGAACAGGAAAAAAAGGGCCCAAATTGGGGGAATCCTTTTAAATTTACCAATATTTTCTCTTGGTAAAAGGTTTTTAGGCTTTTGATTATATAAGAAGTGATATACATTTATTTCTGCTTATTTCATACGTGGAGTCCAGACTTAAATCTTCGTGTTTATTTTGCGTTGTAGAAATTTACTGTTTATCTCCCCACCCCTGTTTCACAGTTCTGTTAAGCCTGTTTGTTTTGTATTACTGTTTTTTAATCCTTTATTATTACTGTCTTTCCTAGTCATTCACCATTAATGAGCTGTTTTTCTCTTGGTTCCCTGGCCTTCAAATAAGTAACAATATTGTAGTGTCATTTCCAGGGGAATAGTTTCACTGAAAGATGTCTAGTTGTCAAGCACAAACAAAATTGTCATCTGCTATTAAACATGGAACTGGCAGCTGGTCTGTACTACTGTTAGACCTTGGGTTGACCATATTTTAAGTTTGGGTTGTAAACAGTACAGAGAAGCATTCTTTAGGAAGTGCTTCTACAGATTGGAAACTAAAGGATTACCAGTCAAACAGTTGACGGAGTGTGGGGGATGACAGCAGCTTTCCCTTACCTAGTGCATGTAACTCAACACGTTTGCTACATGCTTCTTATCACAGCTCTTTGAATAACGTGTGCTGGGAGGATCCAGAGGCTTTTCATTTTTAAGTTAATTGAACTCAAGTGGTCTGTAAATTACAAAGTGAAATCTCTTCAGTCTACATGGCAGGTATTTTAATATATTTAAGAATTTTGATTAAATGCATGTCAAGGAGTTCTTCGTTAGGCTTTTCTTCTTTATTTTACTCATTCATAGATTTCTTGCTGTGTTATATTGCCCTGTTTTGGGTTTTTGGCCTGACGATGGTACCATGTTTTACTGCTTGGTAGCATTTAGTGATTCTCATGTGACTAAATTAGAAAATGATCTTGTGTTTACATCTTACTTACATTTTGTAAGAATTCTTCCAAATGAAAATTTCATCCTTATTTAAAATTCACAGATTGAAAGGAATTTTTTTTTTTTTTTTAGATTTTATTTATTTATTCATGAGAGACACAGAGAGAGGTAGAGACACAGGCAGAGGGAGCAGCAGACTCCCTGCAAGGACCCTGATGTGGGACTCAATCCCAGATCCCGGGATCATGCCCTGGGCTGAAGGCAGACACTCAACCACTGAGCCACCCAGGCGTCCCTAAAGGAAATTGTTTTAATCCTTTCTTAAATATACAATAAAGTTTACTCTCTTAGCTGTACAGTTCTGCAGGTTTTGCATTTTTAAAAATCAACATTTATTGACTCCTTCTGTGGCAGGACCTAGTTACTTTCATAACAGCGTAGCAATAGGGAAGAGTTGTGGAGACACAACTGTCATGTAATAGAATGAAAAATCAATTTTGTGGTAGTACAAAGGACGGAGTGATTAACTTTGGAGAGTAAGCTTCCTGAGGTCTGTACTTCTGACTTCTTCCTGAAACGCCCATTAAATATTCTGTGAACATCTCAAACTTACTATGTTTACAATTGAACAAAAAGTTTTTCAATAAGATTTGCCTCTCTCCCTGAGATTTTTTGGGATACATAGCAACAACCATTTATTCCTTGCTGCATTAGAGGAGGGCATAGCTGTCTATGTGTAATGGCATCATTTGGCTATTATTTAGTATTTTGAAGTTAGGAGCTGTGTAAGAATTATGACCCCATGGGGATCCCTGAGTGGCTCAGCGGTTTAGCGCCTGCCTTCAGCTTGGGGCGTGATCCTGGGGTCCCGCATCAGGCTCCCTGCGTGGAGCCTGCTTCTCCCTCTGCCTGTGTCTCTGCCTCTCTCTCTCTCTCTCTCTCTCTCTGGGTCTTTCATGAATAAATAAAAATAGGATCTTAAAAAAAAGAATTATGTTTCCAGGTCTAACCTCATGTTAATCTAACTTTAAAAGAACCTAATAGGGATGCCTGGGAGGCTCAGCAGGTGAGCATCTGCCTTTGGCTCAGGGCATGATCCCGGGATCCAGGATCGAGTCCCACATCAGGCTCCCTGCAGGGAGTCTGCTTCTCCCTCTGCCTGTGTCTCTCATGCTTTTCCCTCTTGCCCCTCTCTCTCGCTGTCTCTCATGAATAAATAAATAAAAATCTTTAAAAAAAAATAAAGAGACCTAATATGTATTAAAGATGTTATTCAACTGACACAGGGTTTCTTCACCTATTGTTTCCCTGGTGCATTTAAGTTTTTTAGAAAACTGGAGAAAAATTCTTAGAAGGTAAACAGTGCTAACAATATATTACAACTTCAGAGATGCTTTAATAATGCTGATAATAGTGAATGCTTGTATAGAGCATAATGTGTACCAGACACTGTCTGAATACTTCCATATACTATTTCATTTAACCATCACACAACCCTTCCATATACCATTTCATTTAACTTTCACACAACCCAGTGAAGTAGACCCTGTTATTCATTCTCTTTGGGTAGATTAGATGAGGAAATGGAGACATAAAAGTCAGTAACTCACAAAAATTGCCATTATAGTAAGTGGCAAAACCTATATTTCAGGCTGGTAATTCCCTCAGAATCCAGGCTTTTGACGTATTATGCTAAACTACATTTCAGCCAATCAAACTTTGATTTTGATTTAGGAAATTGAGTTTACTAATTTATGTGTGATTGGTGTACTGTAATGAAGTAATATGAAAACTGAATAATTATAGCTAATTAGTGTCACTAGTAACGAGGCCTGATTTTTATAAAAAGTTGTTGTTTTCATATT